TACCCTGACAGGGGACTAATCTGGTGACCTTATAGGCACTCAATCCACCAAGCCACACCAGCCAGGGCTTAACACCATTTTTCACAGAAGATGTGTGAGAGAATAAAGAAGGGAAACATCGATGTGTGAGAGAATCAATGATCAGTTGCCTGTTGCACACCCCAGCTGGGGACCTGGCCCACAGACCAGAGTCGAACCAGTGACCTTTTGGTTTGCAGGCCAGTGCATAATCCACTAAGCCACACCAGCCAGGGCTAATTATTTTAAACCTCTTTATAAATTTTTCATCACCCTTAAAATCTAGTCTTTTACTATGCAAGGCCCTTTATTAGCTGACTCTTGGCTACTTCACTGACTATATTCCCTACCTTTTGCTCTTTCTACTCCAGTCATACTGGCCAATGAACTGCTACTTGAAAAATTGTATTCCCACATCAAGACCTTTGTATTTGTTGTTCGCTCTGCCTCTAATTCTCTTCCCCTAGACCCGTGCTATTCAAAATGCCATTAGCCATGTATGGCTACTAAGCATTAGAATATTGCTAGTGTGACTGAAAAACAATATTAATTTTAATTAACAGATATTAAAATTAATACTTGAGTGACTAACAAGATTCCCATTTAGAGTGATGAAAAAGTTCTGGAACTAGATAACTGGTGATGGTTGCATAACATTGTGGGTGTACTTAATGCCACTGAATTGTACACTTTAAATGTAAATGTTCAATGGTAAATTTTATGTGTACTTTACTACAATAAAACAATTGCTCCTTGGTATTTATCCAAAGGAGTTAAAAACTAACATCCACACAAAAACCAGCATATGAATGTTTACAGCAGCTTTATTCATAATTGCCAAAACTTGGAACAACCAAGATGCCCTTCAGTAGGTGAATGGATAAACAAACTATGATACATCCATACAATGGAATATTATTCAGCTAAAAAGAAGTGATCTTATCAAGTCATGAAGGATGGGAAACCTTAAATGTAAATTACTAAATGAAAGAAGCCAATTTAAAAAGGCTACATACTGTAGGAGTCCAATTGTGTGACATCCTGGCAAAGACAAAAACTATGGAGAGAGTTTGTCAGAGGTTTAGGCTAAGAAAGGAAGAATAAGTGAAACAAGGTATTTTTAGGGAAGTAAAACTATTCTGCATACTATAACGATGAATATATGTAATTTGGCCAAACCATAGGATGCACAATATAAAGTGTGAATCCTAACATAAACTAAATACTTTGGTTGATAATGATGTGTCAGTGTTGACTTAGCAATTCTACACTTGTACAGGATATTGATGGTGGGGAGTTCTAGAGGTGGGGAGTCTGTATTTTTTATCCAGTTTTGCTGTGAACCTAAAACTTCCATAAAAAGTAAAGTATATTGAAAAAAGTTAATACTTGATTTGGTTATAAGAAAATTTTTTAAGAATGCTTGGAACATGAGTATGTGAATATTCTTATTCAACTATAAATTAAATGAACTCTAAGTACTAATAAGATGTTTCCAATGACAATTCAGTGTCCAAATTGAGATGTGCTATAAATGGAATATATATACTAGATTTCAGATTTAGTACAAAAGAATATAATAGTATATTTATTATATATTAAAATGGTAACATTTTGGATATATTGTTTAAACATCAAAATTTTACCTGTTTTTAAAACGTGGCTACTAGAATATTACATAGGTGGACCTTCCTGATAATTCTATCTAAAATAGCACTCCTCCAGCACTATTCCTTTATTTTGATTTATTTTTCTCATGGCATTTATCACTATGAGTATAGAAAATACCTCTCTCCACCTGGCATGTTTAAGTTCTATGAAGGCATGGACTTTTTTGCTGTTGTATCCCAGTACTCTGAACAATTCCCTACACATATTCAGGGGTGTCCAACCCCTAGCCCGTGGGCCACATGCAGCCCAGGATGGATGTGAATATGGCCCAACACAAAATCATAGATTTACTTAAAACATCATGAGATTTTTTTGTGTGTGTGATTATGTGTTGCAAGGTATTTAATGTGTGGTCCAAGACAACTCTTCCTCTTCCAGTGTGGCGCAGATGCCAAAATGTTGGACACCTCAAGGAATGATCATTGTCCTTTCATGATGGAATATTTAGGCTTATGTGTTAGGGGGTGGGATGGACAGCATCTTGAGGACTCAATAAATATTTGAAGAATGAATCTCAAATCCACATTTCTGAGTCTCTCAACATTTCAACACTCTGTTTCCAAACTCTTAATAGAACCACCACATTTGTATGCCTTCAAGTTCATTCCATTGCCATCTCTAATCTGCTATTAAACCCATCCAATGAATTTTTCATTTTAGTTATTATACTATGCAGTTCTAGAATTTCCATTAGGTTTTTTGGAAGTTTTAATTTCTGTGCTGAGATCTATTCACTCATTATACGTTTTTGTTTAATCTTTGAACATATTTTAATACCTGCCTTAACAAGTAACAAACAATATATAAAGTAAGAACAAAGGCCAGGCCAATTTTTTAAAAACTATGGATCACATTTTCGTGTGTGCCTTTCTATACCTAGTAATTTTTTTACTGAATACTAAACATTGTGTATATTTTGTAGAGATTCTAGATTCTTGTTATCGTCTTTAAAGTAATGATTCTTGTTTTAGCAAGTACTTTAGTTACAGAGCAGTCTTCTTAAACTAGCATAGGCTTGGTTTTATGTTTTGTTAGTTCACGTCTATGGAAAGCCTGAAGAGTTTCACAAGTTCCAACCTGCCAGAACTCAACTTTCATACTCTGTCTCCTTTTTAAAGATTTACCATATTTTGCTGTGTATAACGCACACCCACATTTTGTGCACATTATACATGGGATTATCTTATCAATTTTCAAACCCATGGTATGTAATCATTACACTCATGTATAAGGAAGGCACAGCCTTATTTTTTCCCTCAAAAATTTGGGCAAAATAGTGTGCATTATACATGGCATGTATAAAAACATGGTATTTATTTTCAGAGAGAGGGAAACAGTGCCAGAGAAACAGATTTGTTGCCTTTCACACACCCCCAACTGGGGACCTGGCCCGCAATCCACACATGTGCCCTGACCAGAAGTTGAACTGGTGACCTTTTGGTTCACAGGCCAGTACTCAATCCAGTGAGCCACACCAGCGAGGGGTCCCCTGACAATCTCGTCAGAGAATGGTAGGGCAGGTTTAGAGTACGTCTAACTCTAGGACATGTTTTTTACTCTTATGGTACAACCTTTCTATTATTTCAACTGGATGTCTCAATTGTAAAGGAGAGCTCCACCTTGGCAGGCCCAGAAACCTAACGTCCTTTAGCATTGCTTTTATGCCAACACCTGTTTGCCTCTGGTATCTCCGTTCCATTCTCAACTGTGTAGCAACTGTTATCTGGTAAGCATCAGGTGGTCTTGCTCTGAATATACATAGCCCTGGATCTGCAGTGACCCCATATGGATTTCTGGGGTCACCTCTCTGAATAGCTCTCTTCTCTGATGCCCATCCCGATAGATTTCAACTGCTTCAGCTGCTCTCCACTATTCTCTCTCATTCTCAGCTCAGCATTCCAGTCTCTTTATGCCATAGGTAACGGTGGGGCTCAACTGCTTAAGTTTCCCTTCTCTCAGGAACTTCAGTTTTGTGCTGCTAAAAAAACAGTTGCTCGATATATCTTGTCCAGTTTCATAGGTGCCACTAATCTAGAAGGGCTAGTCAAATTATTCAATCACAGCCAGAAGCAGAAGTCCGCCTTACCTCAAACTCTCTTGGGTGGAACTAAGGAAAGAGGAGCAGCCCCTCTCAGGTGGCAAAACAAAGAAAATATAACCTGCCAGAAGTCTTGGTTAGAGCTTTCAATGAGGGAGCTGGTGTGAAAGAATGAAGCAGAGAGAAACAGAAATAGGAGTTGGTGTGACCAAGTTGGCAGCATTCAAGCCTCATTTCAACTGTTCTCAAGTCCAGGAGACTTCTGCCCTTTCTGCAGTTTGCTTACATGGACCATTAAATTTCCTCCATTTTCTGGTATAGTTGGTTGAATTTTTGTTGGAACCCTTAATGAAGCAGAGTCTTTTAAAAGGAACTAGATGTAGCACAATTGGAACTGAATATTGATGGCCCACCCACATGTGATGTTCAGACTTTGGAAATGTACTGATGTTACAGAAGTTCCCAAGGTCAGCCATTATGGGAAGTGACAATCTCCCTTATAAGTTTTGTTTTTTTTATAAACAGATTCTCTGTCCTCATATTTTAGCAAATTTTGTTGTTACAGCACTATACAAATGAGAAGTCAAAAGGCACACTATCTTCAGATTTTTTTTAAATAAAAGGACATATTTTTGGAATCATTTTGAAGTCTGAATATTTTCCCTGGAATCATCCTTCCATGTATATTTTATATTCTGCATTTTTTCTTTATGGGTCAGTAGCAAGTGACCTGAATTCACAGGGTTCTCCCTAAGTTACGCCTTCCATACCTCTTCAGACTCTTCTCTTTCTTGTTCATTATATTCTAGGCTCAAAACTGTAATGTTTCAGTTAAGTAAAAATCTGAAACATTTGTAATCTTAAAGACCTTGGCACCTTGGAACTTTTATTTTTAATAGCTCTTATTACTACTTAAAATGATCTGGCTTATGTGTTTACCTTGTATATTGTCTGACTGCTCCCAATTGAATGTAGAAGCTCTATGAGAAATCTAGTTTATCTTATCCATTGTAGAGTCTTACACCCTAGAACAATGCTGGGCACATAGGAAGTGTTCAATATCTGTTGAATAAAAACTAACACTACAGTAAAGAGACCAGTGTAAAAATTCCTGCCTTTCTAGTTTAGTCTAGCTAAAAATAAATTCAAAATTCACTCAAATTTTAACATTAAGATGTGACTGTTTGCATCACATAAGTGTGATGTGTGTATGTTATCAGAATCAGCAAAATAGTAAAGCAAGTTTAATTTTTAATTTATTAGAACCCAGTAAGTGATGATTTCAAAAGCAGAGTTTTCATCAAATTAACACTTAATTCAGGGCAAAAATACATTTAAAAAAACCTAAATCTTAAGGCAGAATAAAACATTACAAAACCAGCATGTCTAATACAGACTGTAGAATGTCAGAATTTTAAGAGATTCACATAATATTTTATAGCATTAAAATGTTAATACAGTTGGAAATGTTATCAATTGGTCCAAGATTTCTCAGTTTATAAAATGTCTAGACTGCTAACTGAAGAAATTTTGCTGTGTAAGTAATAGCTACCGTATATCCAAGTGATTGTTTTTTATGACAAAAGAACTAAGGCAGGAAATTTCATGGTTTTCATTTGTAAAGATTTTACAGTATTAAACCTAAACTATTACTATGAGTGTATTTTAGATTTACCTTCCCACCCTAATACCCATAAGGTATACGTTAATTCCCTTTAACTCCATTTTAAAAAATTCTGTGAATTATCACACCTACTCATGTATAAGCCTGACTCTACTCATAGCAAAAGCATGAATTCCTTATTTTGATATGGTAGAAAAAGCAATTTTAGTAAATCAGTATATCTTTTCCTGGTTGCTTAATAATTTCTAAACTAAAGCCTAAGAATTTTTGTACCTCCAATAAGTGAAAAAGCTTTTTTAAAAAAAATCTCTAAAATTTGAATTCTGACTAGAACCTGAGTGTGGCAGGGTGTGTGTGTGAGAGTATTTCGTGTTTATGCGCAATTACCAGTAGCCCTTCTAAAACACAGTTAGCAACCTTAATTATTCCTCATGATCAAAACCTTTATTTTGGGGGTGGGGGATTAAAGTACTTTAACTCAGAAAACAAGGATTAGCTAGCTTACATATTCTACTGAAAAGTGTCAAAAAAGACAAAGCATTTAAAATAATTTTGTAAGACTAGCAAATATGAGGTTTATGGGTTCTTAACTAACATTTAGGTAATTACAAAGATTCTTCATCTTTATTACAAACTTTTAAGCTATTTTAATAAAATGGCTGTAGATCTCACTGTACTTCTATTTATCTGTGCATTAATAAAAATCTGTTAAAACTCCTTATATAGTAATTCTGAAAAAGTCTTGTCAAATTATATCACTAAAACTACCAGAGAAGCTTTGAAATCTGATTGCAGATTCACTTCAAAGTTGATTTAGACTCTTTCAGAATCTGGCATTTCGATCATGAATATATTCACCAACTTGGACTCTGAAAATATAAAAATTTTAGCCAGTGCTGGTTATAGTTAAACAGTACTGGTATTATGTGACAAAAATAAAAATTGAAAATATATTGTCAATCATGCATTTCATAATTTCATGAACTAAGTAAGGTATAACTCATAAATATTATGTCATTGCAGGTTATTTCAACCTTCATCAGGCCTCGGCTGCCAGCTTACCTGCAGAAACACATCCACACTCATGTAAAATAAAAGGAGTAGGGAAGTGATTTTGCACACATGCTACCCAGTGTTTGGCTTCCAGGTTCCCCTCTTTTATTTAACTATTATTCTAGGTATAATTCCTGGAAGAGCATGAGATAAGGGGTAAGATAGAAGAGAACACCTGTTGGGCTAACAAGAATATATTAGTATATAAAAAGTTTTTCAGCTGAATAACTTCTCACTGTGGTTATCTTATGTGTAACTTATAAACAGTACAACCATTTTTTCCTGTTTCTCCATTTATGTAAAGAATTAGGCTCAATAAAATGTAAAACATACATAAGTTTGCTTTAAATGCAAAGACTCTAGTTTTGCGTGGTTTTTTTTTTTTTTTTGGCTCATCCAAAAAGGTCTCTGCTTTAATAATACAATATGAAAAAGTTCACATATGTACATGGGTACATTCCGTCATTAAAATTTTTCCTTAAATCTATCTCAATGTATCTTTACAACTGATACAACTGATCTTTACAACAAGTCAAAAAAGACAAAGTAAAAATCATTCCATTTTACAGCACTTTAGGTTTTCTGAAGTTCTCCTTTAGGACTTAAAGGACATCATTTAAACGTTGCTTTCCATAGTCTCCAGGATCCATTTGAAGTTCTCGTTCCTCATCATCTGAAAGGGAAATAATTATGTATCAAGAATATTATTTTTAAATCATTGCAGAAATCCAATTAAAAAATGTTTCTTTTTTTTTCCTCAGGTAGTTTTCTCTTTTTTTAAGGTAGTTTTTCCTTTTTATTTTACACCTTTGGCAAATAGTGTTCTATTTCTCAGTTGCTTGGCTAAAGAGCGAAAAGTCTGTAACTATTTTGGAAGATTATTTAATTTTAACAAGTCTTTTAATGATGGATGGATGGAAGGAAGGGGGTATAGAAGAGAGGGAGGAAGGAAGGAAGCTAGACGGATATAGCCAGGAAAACTTTAGGAATCCACGACATTGAGGAGTTGATTTGTTTACATATTATTTCTATATAGATGAAGTTCAGTCCTTTTAACTAAAACTTTGGTAGAAACCATTCTGTATATATTTTCATGCCTCTAAAAACTAAAAATGTTTTCTAATTATAAAATTAATCCATAGTCATCAGGTAAAATTTGGAAGATAAAAGTTACTCATAATCCCAACATTTAACATTTTAGTGAATTTCTTTGTTTCTCTGCAAAGAGTTTACCAGTTAACTTCTTAAGTGGGGTATACAAACAAAAACTTAACCTTTTTTTTTTACCAAAAAGAAAAAATCATTACATTATATTGTTAGACAGTAAGATCCTCAAAGTCACCTTGAGTAGCTACATTACGCAACTCTATATAGTGCTTTGGAGTTTGACTTATTTGACTACTCACAAGCTTTTCTGGATCTTTCATGGGTATCACCCATCACTTTACCATCAGTTTATCTGCCAATAGCAACCTTTCTCTTCTAATTTTACTTCAAACTACAGGTTTTGAAATAAGACTGCTCAGAGTATTAAAATATTAGAATAAGAATGAAAAGTATTTCAATCAGAGCTCAAGAGGCTCACTTTTTTAGTACATGGCCTTTAAAAATGACATCTTTTGATCCTCAAGTCTTGAAAAATGACTTCTCACCCTGACTGATGTGGCTCAGTTGGTTGGGCATCATCCCGCAAAGTGAAAGGTTGATGGTTTGATTCCTGGGCAGGACACATGCCTAGGTTGTGGGTTCAGTCCCCAGGTTGGGATGCGTACAAGAGGTGAGTGATCAATGTTTCTCTCGCACATCAATGTTTCTCTCCCTATCCTTCTTCCTCCTTTCCCCCCTCTCCATACATACATACATACCTACATACATACTTACATACATACATAAATACGTACATACATAAATACATACATACATAAATGGCTTCTCTTACTTTCTGGTTCATGTTACAGTTACCCAATAGCTGAGTATGATAGATCGAGGTGTTACTATCATTTGCCTAGAAATACAATTTTATATAACTCAGAGTTATATATTGAATCCAAATTCGTATATACAGTATTGCTTTCTGAAATCCTCTTTGGTTTAGTAAGTTTCCCACTCTCAGTTTCTCTGGTATATCCTATTGTAAAATTTTGGTTAAGAAAGATGCTATGTGATGGATGTTTTATGCATTAACTTTTCATAATGATGTGTTTATTTCTTCTCTACACTTATTCGTAAAAAATGACAAACTAACTTTCAAGACTTCTGTAATTAAATGAAAACTTAATCACCATGAAGCACTGGGAAAAGCTATTATATAAAGAATTTGAAGAAATTTAACAGGCAAGTTATTGAAAAAATACTGTTACTTTTTGGATTTCTTAAATGAGTAATTATAAAGAGAAAATTAGAGCAAAGATCTAAGAATAGAAAAGAATTCATTTTTTTGAAAAAAATGAATTTCAGTCCTGATCCAGACACTCAACAAACATGATGTAGTTCCTAAACCTCTTTAGAACTCTAATTACCTTCTCCGTAGAATAGGAATAACAGCTGTTTTTTGTCTCAAAATAAAATAGTGCATATGAAGGCAGTCTTCCAAGGTCCTCTATAAATATAAGGGGAAGTTTGGTTTTTTTTTAGTAATTTATGCTCTTTAGAAAATTTTAATATGGTGCCTTCACATCGTTTTTCTGAATTTCATAGGATTTTTGGAGTATTATATTTCTTACATTGAGCTATCATTTACATTAAGAAGAGTCCCTTTTCAGTGTAGCTATTTTAACCAGAATTCAACTTTCTAATAACAACCTGTACATTTATCTGTTAAAGTGTGATGAAATTCCCTAATCAAATTTGATATTGAATAATAACCACTAAATATAATTATACGAACTAATATTTTATTTCACTTTACAAAGGAGCAAAATCTGTAAACAGTTCACAACATAAAGTGGCTATTAAAGGAATATAACATAAAGATATTTATAATGTATTAAATAATTCCTAAGTTACTTCTGAGGTCAAGAAAGAACCACTGCCATAATGCAAGTTCTACCAAGCAGTGAGCTCCATTAAAACATACAAATTAATCCATAGTCCAAAGTGCCATTATCCTCTAAAGCAGGCAACCCAGAGAAAAAAATTCTAGATTTGCTTTTACTTTTTAAATTATTATTTTATTCGACAAACACTTATATAGTGTTACCATGTGAAAGACGCTGTCCTAAATGCTAAACAAATATTTAAATCATATAATCCACATAACTGTTGAGTTAGGTAACTATATTTATCCCTATTTTACAGATGAAGAAATTAAGGCATAGAGGTTATGTAACTCACAGGTGACAGAACTAGTTAAGAGGTACAGCTGGAATTCAAATCCAGGCAATCCTGGCTTAGAATCAGGCACTTAAGCACTATGCTAAGCTTCTTTCCACTGATATACTCAGTAATATGCATTTCATATCCTATTAAACAAACTTGGAAGTTCTGTGAGATTAAAGATAAGAGTACAGGGAATTTGTAAACATCCATCTCCTATTACAATGGAGAATGAATTAGAAGGTACATCTATCAGATGTGCAATCTTTCCATAGTTGATCTTTAAGAAGCTGGGAAAAAAATTTTTTTACACCAATGTAAATATATTTATTTTAGGATATTTGAGGAAACCAGGCACTTCAAACCAAAATAAAGCAGGATGGTAAACACAGGAAAATTAGGCTTCCCTTATTCTACAAGAAAACACTGCGTAGACAGTGCTGAACCAAATGATCAGTATGTATGAACAGGCATCAGAGACAAAGCTGGAATTCTTCAGCTTCCTACAGCAGAGATGCTACCCAAACCTCCATTTCATAATCCAGAATTTTGGAGACCAAAGCCAGAATGTCCGTAGCTGAAGCCAGAGCCTCAGTCCTACAGCTGGAATCTCTAATCCCAGCTACACAACAACTTGAGGAAAATCTCCTCCTAATACCAGAGAGAGCAGATAACTCTGGCTGCAGAGTCTCAATGACTGGGGTAGTTTGCATTTTCTTTCTTGGGTTTGCGGGAAGATGTTTTTCAGGCATTCTGAAATCTGAAATACAATTTCCTATAATACTTGTGTTATACAGAGTGATGCCACTGTGAATGTAGCCATAGCATTTTAGCACTGAGAACACTACTTCAATACTCTCACATTACAAATGAAGAAATTTTGGCCCAGAGAGTTTAAGTCACTTGACAAGCAGTACACAGCTGATCTCCTATTGTCAGGCTAATGTATTTTTCCACTCTACTGCCTGCTTTGGCTACAAGTGCAAAATGGCTTGAAAACTGAATCATTATTTCTACACTGAAGCTATAAGAAATGCATTTAAAGTCCAAATATTCAAACTTAACTAGGAAATAACCATAATTTCTCCTCCCCACTTTTTGAACAGTTAATACTATACCTAAAAATTTTTAACATGAAACATTTTTAAACATGAAAACATGTTTAATATTATTTGGGTCTCCAGTATTTCTTTTTAGTCACTTCACCCAAACTTATCCCTCTTTACTTGCTGGAGTTGATAATCTTGCACCTTTCTGTTCCCTATGATAAGGGAGCCCCCTTGGTAGCTGCCCCCTCCTCTGCTGCTATCATTTAATGAACTCCAAAATGGGATAAAAATGTTAAATGGCAATCCCCAGCTCAAGTAAGATTCACTTGCAAATGAAGAAAACAAGGATTTACCAATCTCCCTACTTCACTGAGGATATCATCCTAGGTCATTTCCTTATATTCCTTAGAATCAATGAATTAATTTTCTTGTGAAAGTAAAAGCAGGGCTGCAAGAAGGTACTGAGGGCCTAACAGTGGAAAGTGGCAATGAGAACTGAGGGTAGGCGAGGGTGGAGGGTACCGAAAAGAGGGAGAGTAGGCACTGAAGATAAATGTACCTGTTATGGATAAAAACCATAAAAATATTGAACTAAAATTTTGTAATAAAAGTCAGCACCTTTAAGAGAGCCAAAATATAAGAAATGATTTTTCAATTATGGTTGAAATTAGTTGCTCTAAAGAAAACCTCAAAATTATCTGAGATGATAGAAGCCCTTCTGAAAGAAAACTAGAAATGTTTAAAGTGCAAAGCAAGCAAGCTTATAAAACCAGAAGTTAAAGAATTATTACTGCAGTCACAGTTATAAGAATAAAAATTAAATGAGAAAAGGGAAAAATATCAGTTAACAACATTTACTGAGGGCCCTATGTATGCTACATACTATGGGTGGTAGGAAGGACTATGAAGGCAGAAAAGAATACAAACCAAACAGTAGGCAAAATAAATAAAAATTCCTGCATTCTGAGAGCTTAAATTCTAACTGGTGATATTATATAGATGTAGGAAAAGGCCTTAAAACAACATTACAAATAACTGCAAGTAAATGTAATCCAAACAAATCACAAAAGCAGTTGAGGAAAAAAATGGTATAATTTATGAAGATGGATGGGAGTATAAAAAAGAAGAGTATAATTTATTCAAAAGTACCAAAAAGTGTTGCGAGATTTTCATTTAATGTATCCTTAAATAACTTCTAACATTTATTATTTTCTTTCTATTCCCAATAACCATTCTTCCAAAACTAGAATGGACATCAAAGCAATGCGTAGGTGGAAGTCAGAGTCTCTGGTTTCCCTTTTTCTATTAAATACATAGTATTCTAGGACAATTATATTTTCTTCTGAGTTTTATAAAAACAATTCTTATCATGAACCTAAATAAAATTTAATTACCTTAAAAAGAGCTAAAGAGTAAATCAAGACAGGTTACATTGAAAAAAATATTTCATGCATAATATAAAATCTGAAACACACATGTTAACTTTAAAATCAAGTTTTATAGAAAAAAGAAAAGCTCCACAAGTACTACTAAATGATGTAAGCAGGCATAAAACAGGCCTAAAAACTTGCAATAAAGCAACATACTCTGATATGCATGCATGGGTAGGGCTGCATGCACACAGGTAGATTCTGAACTTTCACTGTTAAAAGCTCAGAAGTAACACAGTTAACAAGGAAAATATGTTGAATCTGTGTATTAAACATAAAACAGACAAATCTCCACAAACTGATCATTAAATATAAATTTTAAGCCTCAGAAAAAAATTCAAAATCAGCCCTTTCTGTGCAGAATCAGTAGTGAAATAATCTTATCTTCTGATTATTCCTTTTGTGGCTTCCCTGATAACAAAAAGGCTGTCTGGTCAATATTTTACCTAGAATAATTGAAATGCTTTCAGATGAGAAATTAAAAAGAATTATTTTCCAGGAATATATTTGCCTTAGGTAAAGTCTAGAGCCATTTAAAACAATTTAATTCTAAAACTTCTCAAGACTCTGAGTTTCAAATCTAATCTATATCAATAACACATATAACTAAAAACAAAAATAATTAAAATGATTTATCTACAAATCTACTAATGCCAAACCACTACTGTAAAATGGTTTTCAAAACAAAATTGAAAAACTGCACAAAACCTCTTTGTATTAATACTATACTGGTACTAATAAGTGGGAAAATTCTACACAAATTCAACCAAATTGGGTTGGTAGGTTTCACGGTTACAGCATGGAGACCAGGCCCACGCTCACCTTGGACGTCTTCCTCTCCACCATCACCATCTTCTTCCTCATTGTATGCCAGCTCAGCCTGCTTGTCTGCCTCATACTCACCTACGTTACCATCATCCCCATTATAATCCGCCAGTTTAGAGCCATGCTGCGGATCAACAGGGGATTCATTCTCATCAAAGAATCGGCCTGTGAAGTAGGTAGAGGATTAATTCCAGAGTAAAGAGAGAGAAGAAAAAGAAGGAACCTGTACTGAAGGCAGATCAGAAAGTAAACAAGTGAAACCTGGCAACTTTCAGGACAATGTTTATAAAAAAGAAACATTTTGTGAAGGTTATTCAAGAAAAAAGGAAATAAGATTGAAGACAGAAAATAACTTTTATTTAAGAATTTCTCTTTTGTGTTAATTTTAGTACTTGCTACTTAAGGTTTTAATGTTTTCTTAAAGAAAAGGACACCGTATTCAGTACTGTTTTCCTATTAACCAACGACTTCTCTGATAGAAGTATTTGTCTAATTTAACACTTTATGGGGAAGAATACTTTTATTACTGGATACAAAATATATTTGAAATTTGTAGTCATTTATTGCTTTATGATATACCACTTTCCATGAATAATTTGATATCTTTTTTTAATATAAAAATGAACAAATACTATGCAGGCTAGTTTCTTTCATGATACTAAGAAAAATTGACACACCTGAGAATTATCTTAAGTTCCTTCAGTACCAGTGATTCACTGTAACCATGAATTAGTTTTCAAGGAGCAATGGCAGAGAGTAAACTATCAGGATCCCTACTGGTATGTTTTTTGAAAACACAATCCAAGTAACTCTGATTTATTCTTTCCCATTTTGTAAACCAGATATTTAAAAGTCAATGGAAGAGGGTACTTAAGAAAGTTGACCTACATGAATCTGTTAATTATATACATTAATAACAACTAGAAATCAGGAAGAACAACAGACATAACACCTACTCCAGAAAGCTATTTAACAACCAGGCATTCAAAATAAAAGTTAGGCAAATTAAGATATGCCTCAAAATGACACGTTAAACTCTACTTTGACATTAAATTTAAGTAACATAAAGCAAACTTTTTATCCCAGTCCCTTAAATATGACATTAAACTCCTCATGATGTAAATTTTTAAAATTTTTTTAAAATTATAAAAAATGTTCTTTAATGGGTCTAAAATTTTTGGAATTATATTGTAAAAATTTTTGCAATGAGACAGTCAGGAAAAAAATAACAACTTCCTTTGCTTAGAAAGAAAAGTTACATGCAAATAAAAAAAAAAATCATGGAGGTATTAGTTAATTCTATAGATGGTTCACCACATCATCAGGACAGTATATTCCTCGTTGCTGGGTGATGAGTCAATCAGGAAAACAGTTGAAGAACAAATCACATTTACATAGACTTTGAAAGCTGGGGGGTGTGACAACAGAGAGTGAAGTAATTGTGGCCAGAAAAAACAACAACAACACACACACACACACACACACACACACACACACACACACACAAAAGAAACAAATGAAAAACAAAAACAGAAGGTCCTCTCAAATCTATTATAGAATAAGATCGAGTATGTGCAATAAATAAATAAGTGCAAAATTTGATAAAAGAGTTAGAAAAATATAAATGAATATACAAGAGTTACAAAGGAAAAACAATAACAAGAATAGGTAAGCTATTTGTGAGAAAGACAACCTACCTAATGACAGTAACACAAAACAAAACATTTTGGTGACTTTTATTATTATCTCTTTCCCTAATGATAAAATAAATCATGCCAATGTAAGAGAGATTTATATAACTCTATATTTTCTTTTTCTTAATATGTAAATTTACTATGGACAAAACACCTGAAACAGTTAAACTATCTTCATGCAATGTGAAACTGCTGTTTTAAACATACAAACATTTTATTGTAGTTAACAAGTAAATTGCTCGAAGTATACTACTTCCTCCAAGAAAATATTTTCAATTTTTATCAGTTATGAATAAAGTTATTGCAAAATATAGTTAATATTATCAAACATGGTATATTAACCAGAGATGGTCCATCTGTGCCTATTATAATATTCCAACAAAACAATACATAAAGTTTCTTTAAGCATTTTTATGATCTGACTACCCTGAATTCAGTCATAAAATTTTAATACAATTAGTGATACTCAGCTAACAGTGAGAAAATCAGTAACAAGAATGGACAACAACACAACTGTCCTTTGTTAAATAGTAATTTGTGCTCTCATATGTACAGAATTTTCATCTTTGTAGAAAGAGCTAACCGTTATAAACAATGAGAGAGAAAAAAGAGTCAACCACACAACATTGCCAGTCAAGTTGGGGATATCAGACAAACTTCACATTAAACAGTGAATGAATTTGATAATATATATAAAAATGCATAATGCTGATCAATATAACAGACTGGAAATTATGTAACTGTCAGGCAACATTTATCAAAAAAAGTCACACAATGGAGAAATTAGTGTGGGTTAGAGCTAGAAGAGATTTCAAAAAGAGGCATATATATGGGACCATGACAGAGAGAAGGAAAGATGCATTCAAAGAGTAAGAATGAAGATGGAGTATTTAGGAAACAGTAAAGAGATTAATTTGACTGTATTTATATTATAAAGTGGAAAGGAGAATATAAAGAATTGCAGGTTCAATCTCCAGTCAGGGCACATACAAGAAGCAACCAATGAATGCATAAATAAGTGAAAGAACAAGTTGATGTTTCTCTCTCTACCCCTCCCATTCTCCTTTTTTTCTCTCTAAAACCAATATTTAATAAGTAAATAAATAAGCAAATAAATAAAAAGGTCTGCTATATCTACTAAATAAGGTTACAGTTTGAATGAATAAGTATATAAAAGTATTGAGTTGACCAAAAATTTCATTTGACTTTTTTCTGTAAGACGGCTCTAATAGTGCTTAGTTGTCTTTAACTTCATGTGAACCAATTTTGTTAGATTGTATTGACAGCCGTCATATCAGCATACATTAAAAAAAACATCAAAATTGGTGAGTTTTTGTGTACCCATTTTAATGTTGAACATGCAAGAAAATCCACAACATTTTTGGCACATTTTTACTTTAATATTTCAAGAAAGGTAAATATGCAACTGAAACACAAAAAAGGGATTTGTGCAGTGTATGGAGAAGGTGTTGTGACTGACTGAATATGTCAAAAGTTGTTTGCTAAGTTTCATGCTGGAGATTTCTCTGTGGACAATGCTCCATAGTCAGATAGACCAGTCTAAGTTGATAGCAATCAAATCAAGACATTAATTGAGAACAATCAATGTTACACCATGCAGGAGATAGCCAACATACTCAAAATATCTAAATCAATTAAATTATTGGTAATAATAAAAAATGTGTTTTTTATGGGGGGAAAAACGGACTTTTTGGCCAACCCAATATCTACTATGTTTTTCATCCATCCATCTAACAAAGGTTCACTGATTTTTGTGACAGAAAATGTGCTAGGCACCATGATACAAAAATATACTTACAATCTCCATCTCCAGTAATTCATAGTAGTAAGAGAGACGAACATGTAAACAAGTAAGTAGAAAGTGATGTTATGTGTGCTATAACACAGTAACCTAGAAAAAGATATCTGAATGTGGAGACTTGCTACCATTGGTTTCTATCTGATAGAGGAAATTCAAACTTCATATGGGAGGCAATAGGCAGTTGTCATGATTACTTTTAAACTGAGATCAGGAATCTAATCTGCCTTATGTTCCACAGCATCTCCAGGGTCTAGTCAGGTAAGAAGGTATAGGACTTAAATTAGGAAGATATCAGAAAAAACGTTACGTACAGGTCAATCAAATATATTTAAAAATGACAAACCAAATGAATAGATGGCACAATGAAGTAGAAAAAGTCAAAGAATGATTCTATAATTCTAGCCTGGAAACTAAAAATTATGGTGCCTGACTCGAAATGGTATAATTGGGAATGTAAGGGAAGGCAAATGTTGCTTTAGGTATACTGAGCTTAGAATTACAGTAAGATAACCATGAAAATATAGATACATGTATGGAACTAGACTCTAGGGGCAAAGTGAGAGACGTGTAGATTTAAGACTTATAAATGTAAAGCGAAGAGGTTAAACAATGAGAACATAATTTCTCCTTGGAAATAAATATTTAGAGAAAACAGCTATAAGTCAAAGGAATGATCTTGGGAAATAACTCTATTTCAAAAGGAAAAAGGAAGTAAAGTTACCACATGATGGTATAAATCTGTGATGTGTTTCAATAGGAATTTATTATCAGACTTCATCTCTGCAGCATTTTACCTATTTAAAGATTTTAAATTTAGTTCTGTCTTTCAATAACCACAGTGTTAAAGCTGTGCCCAACTAGGGAAGTAATACAGTAATTATATTTAGTTTGGATAGCCAGATTTCCTTATATTGTAGCAAAATTCAATTATGTACTTGAATATTATTTTCACCCTGATGGCTGGTTGAAAATAATTAACTTAGAGACTATCAGTAACAAGATAGCTTCATCTTAACAGCTGAAACATGAAAACACAAAGAAGCAACATATACACTAGCTATTCAAAGTCTTCAGGCAACATCAAGTGGGAAAAACAATAAACTTCATATAGAATGACACATATTCTTTAAAACACATTAAATATCAGACTGTAAACTTCAAAGACCAGTAGAAAGGTAAAGGACAATGGCAAATACCTAGAATATTCTCAGTCACGAAAGGGCATTTCAGTCAAGAGAACTAAACAGTATATTGTAATTCTGTACTATAAGCCAAAGCAAGATAATTTGGGTTTTTTTGCTTCATTAGCTAAAGGTTCATTAATGGGTTTCAATTTCTCAACTATTTTATTCAAAAGAGAGTTATATTTTTCATGTCATTCTTTTAATATATCGCCACTATTATAAACAAAAAGAATCAATCTGACTTGATTATAATAACTCTAGAGAAGAAAATAAAAGGAAATTTTACTCTAAAAGAGGCAACCTCTTTTTCTAGCCTTTATCTATTGGTAGTATCTACTTTGTACCATTCATCTGGCAATGAACACATTCAACTGACTCCTGCATTATTCAAATTAACACCGACAGTTTTGACTATTTCAAGTATCCCTGAGGGTCCATTACATGTGAAAACTTAATCTGTTGAGA